TTCACTAATTTGTCTTCTCAAATTAAATTTCGGTAAGTTGAATGATATTTCAATTTCAAGCATATTAACGGCATGTTCTTGATGAATATAATATGCACATTATCGGTGTAATATCTCCTACACTTACCGCATTCCAGGCCTAAGGATAATTGTTTAGGAAGTATAAAACAAGTTTCCAGTAGTCCAAATGTGTAGACGGGAGAAGAATTCACAATGTTCTTTTCTTATCCCTTTGGTTTACAAATAAACATTCTATTAGGAGGCACTCGTTTGAGGCTATTCCTCCTCTTGAACCTTAATTTTCTTTTCAGGATCCTTCTTGTATTATATATGAAATTGTCTGTACATAGAATAAGAAAGGAAGGAAGAAAGTAAGTAATTATGTTTACGAATCCAAGAGTTGTGGATTTATATTTGCTAAGATGCTGCAATTATTTGTGTTTTAAATAGAGCTTATGTAGACTGCAAAGATACAATGAGTAGAATGATAAATTTGAGTCGAAAGTAAAATTTACAAACTTCTTGCAAAAGACTTGGAACAGTTCGACAAGGATTTTGCTAAAATTTTAATAGATTTTGATAAAAGTTGATGTAATGTGTAGTTGAAAAATTATTGAAAGTTTTGAATCCTATGATTGATAAGACACACACATTGGGTGAATCGTTCAAAAGAACACGCCTCACTCTTCAAATTAAAGACGATTGGAATCAGCGGAAAACTTGTAGGAATGAATTTATAAAGTCAAAAGGTGGCAATAAAATGACAGATCAGGGGAGGGTATAAAAATGCATAATGAAGCTCATTCAAAGACTGGTAATACGAGATAAAAATAATGAAAGATGAATAAAAGGGATTGAAATGCTCTATCTGGCATTTCTTACTGAAGTTTCTTTGGCGATTCGCAAAGAAAAAGCCAAGTGCAAAATAATCCAACATTATATTACTTCAATATTTATGTCTTGTTAACATATTTGTTTCGTCAAGCTCCAAACCCCTTCATAATTTCTTCTAATCTTACTGTCTAAGAACTTCCGATCCCATTTTTTAAGGTTAATACCAACAATATTTCCAAGGCAAAAATGAGATACAACCCCAGTTTGCTGCCTGCCTGCAAAAGGCAGAAACTATACTTTCTGAGTTGTGTAAATATACATTGCCCTGCAAGGACAGAAACCTCTCCGGCATTGTAAATTGGTAATTTCCGAAGTTAAATCAATGATGGCTAGTTCGCTACAGTACATCCATCATTGCCAAAGGCGACTTATCATCAGAGGATTCGAACTCTCGGCATTTGGATTTATTTATACATAGCAGTAGTTCCAACATGCAAGAGATGTTCAACAAAAAGGAATTCATTTGGCAAAGCAAAGACATTTTTATGTATCACTAACAGAAGTAACTTCAAGAACCTATTCAAATAGCTGAAAATAAACTCTTTACAATTCCCATTTCGAATCGGGTAGTGTTTTTTGTAGTGAGCGACTACCGTAGTGAGATATATTTAATCACTTAATTTTCTGCTCAATAATGCTCAACGTGGATGATTAAGTGATTAAATATATGCCGCATAGGATGACTACGATAATCGTTCACTATGAATAGAATTACTCTTTCTAATCCCAGTTTGAATCCCTGTAAAACATACTCTTGATTTTCTAAGCAACATCTATTAGCGTATAATACAAACAGAACCCATATTTTCTTCCTGCCTAAATTGACAACACAGCATACAACGCGGATTCATGCAAAAACACAACATAAACGCAGCAGTCTCCTTTACGTTAGAGACAATTGTCCCAACAAAGTTAGAAAATGGATAAGAGAAGAAGATCTCACTAAGTTCTTTATATGCCGTAAATATTCACATCTTTTTACAACATACATAATTAAGAACGCCATAAATAGATGTCTCTTTTTACGACATACATTGAAGGTGTGCTATTAACTACATTTATTATGGCTTTCATATGCACGTTGTAAAGAGATGTGCCATTTTACTACATGCCATAAACATACCGTAAATATTTAAGTAATTGGTAATTTACAACACATATTCAAAGCATGTGGTAAATAGTCTATTTTCTTTTAAGAAAAGAAAAATCGCGCATATTTTTTTAGCATTCTATAAACAACATGCTTGAGAAATGTGTAGTAAATATTCAGCTTTTACAGGGTGTTCAAGATGTATGCGGTATAATTGATCATTTACGATATATATTTAAGGCATTTCGTAAATAGTCTGTTTTTACGACATACATCATATACATGGCGTAAGCGAGTGGTGCGAAAAGTTAATTTTATTGTAGTGTCTTACACTCTTAAAAGCCACATTTATATTAGAACATTAATTTATGCACATTACCAAGGTAGTCTTTCTTCATGATATCTGCAGTGGCAGCATCCTATCAATCTGGGCCATCTGTCCAATTAAAAGAAGCTTACAGTAAGATGATTTTAGATCTTTCACCCTGACCCCAACTGGCTGTTTCGCATCCTTATGCACCATATACTCTTCCCCCATTGTTCTTCTGCAACCCCACCACAAAACCAAGATCCCCACCCACACAATCCAAACTCTTCCAAGCATCATATTGTCAACTGGTACAAAATGAAATGCTAAAATAATGGGTCTGGTAGACAGTCTCTGATACGTAGTTGGTGATTTTTTTACGTCGGGAAATGATAGTTATTCTTGTCCTCTAAAATACCGCAAGTATTTGGTGTTGTAAATAAAAAATAAAGTGTGATACTTAAGAGAATTGCATGTTCAGTTAGATTCCGAGTAATATTAACGTTAATCGTTTTTCTAATTTCTAGACAATTAGTCGAGCATCATAAAAAACACAAATAAGATGTGGAATAATAAAGAATCATTGATTCATTCACAAATCACAAAAGCCACAAAACTGAAATTAGAAACCCATTTATACAAACTGAAATTAGACAAATCACAAAATCCCCAAAACTGAAATTAGACAAGCAGCTCAATAATTTCACAAATCACAATAGCCTTAAAACTGAAATTAGACAATGAAACAAAAACCACAAAAATGATACTCAGCAGTCGACCCATCGCTCACGGCTCACTTACCAGTTACCAATAGTCAGCAGAACGCCAGAAGACGCACGCCAGTCGCAGACCCAAAGTCCCAGACTACCACTGGTCCACTACCAGTAGGAAGTAGTCAACCGTCGACGGCTGATGGCCTTGAAGAGCGAAACGCAGTCGCGGGCGGCGACGGACGGAACTCGAAACTCGAAAAACGAAAGTTTTTGCTGATTAGGGAAAGCCGGAAAATGAAAGGGAGATTGCACTGGACTCTGATAAACACCACTCCGGCGTCGGCTTGAAGAGCAGTTGATTTGTGGTAGGTGGATACTTGGAGTTGGAGAGTGGAATATTTGAGATTGAGAGCGGGAAGGAGAGATGTGTCGAGTGATTCGGTGAGTGCGTGGTAGTTTAGGTTACAATTGGGCCTCCAGATTTGGGCCTTGTCTGGAAAAAAAAAAAAAAAATTGGGCCAAAAAAATGAGGCCCTCTCCACGCTTGGGCCTGAGGCGGCGGCCTCACTCTCCTCACCTTAGGGCCGGCCCTGCCCTGACCCCAACTGGCTATTTCGCATCCTTATGCACCATATACTCTTCCCCCATTGTTCTTCTGCAACCCCACCACAAAACCAAGATCCGCACCCACATAATCCAAACTCTTCCAAGCATCATATTGTCAACTGGTACAAAATGAAATGCTAAAATAATGGGTCTGGTAGACAGTCTCCGATACGTGGTTGGTGATTTTTTTATGTTGGGAAATGACAGTTATTCTTGTCCTCTAAAATACCGCAAGTATTTGGTGTCGTAAATAAATAATAAAGTGTGATACTTGAGAGAATTGCATATTCAGTTAGATTCCGATTAATATTAACATTAATCATTTTTCTAATTTCTAGACAATTAGTCGAGCATCATAAAAATACACAAATAAGATGTGGAATAATAATACATCACCCAAATTTCAATTGTAAAAAAAATTCGAAAAACAACTTTTGAATTCTTAAATCTCTTCAATAATTCTTGAACGATCTTTTTGTATTCTTTCTTCCTCTTTCAAAATCCAAGTAAACGTATTAAATTTGTGATTGATTGTATGTTTGTGAATTAAACTTCTTCCCCTTTTTGAATGCCAGAGAAATCTCCTTTTTATAGTCCTAAGATTATGTTCAAATTCGTGTCTCATCTTCATTCCACATAAAAGTCTTAATTAGACTATCAGAAAAAACTTGAGTTTTACCCAATTCAAGTTAGTCCATGAATGTCTTCTTTGGTTCAGCTTAAGTCCTTTTTTATTTGCATCATGTGTCTTTCATCTCTTTAATCTTTGGAATAGCCCAACTTTCTAAAACTTGAATTTCACCCCCAGAATTTACGATTTTCTTCAAATTGCTCTCTTAAAACTTATCATTCCTGTGCAATTGTTTATTTTTTTAACTGCTCCGAATCAACTCCAAATTAGTTCAAAATTGCCCCCTTTTTTGCGTTCATTGCATCCAAGTCCAGAATTATCTACAATCGACAAAATTACACTAAATTAAGTGAAAAAAAGTTCAATTAACAATAATTTATCAAGTCTAATAGCACAAATAGTGCGTAAAAACACAATTATCAATGCCCTTTACATCTCGAAAAAGATTTTACATATATCCCATATTTATTTATCTAGGATTTAATTGCCAATTCTTTTGAACATATGATAAAAGTTATATAAAGAAAAGTTTTCAAGTTGAAAAGATGAAGGAATAAAGTGTTGTCAAAGAGTAACCCCTTTATAATAAGAAATATTCATTCTTCTTTCTATTTACTAATTTTTTTCATCATAATGTTACTTCTATCTCAACGTGAAATACATAATAAATTGTAAAAAGGTAGCCTGTGTTGGTCAAATCGAACCTTTTCTTTCTCACTCAAATCTACTTGCACTTAATTTAATTCTTGTAAATAAAAAATAAATAGAAAATGTTACGGTAAATTCCTACTATTGTACTCCTATAATAAGCCTAGTGTGATTATTTTTAAGGGTAAAGATATTTGTACATAATTTAATGTGCTGAATTGTTTATCCCCTCTCACGTGCCCGTGGGCCCGCATGAATAAAAAAAATCCCAAGATATGGTCCCCATCTCCTATTGTGGGTAGTCGGTAAGAGATTAGGTAAAAAAAATTGATACATGTTGCATGATCCTATTTTTAATGAGTAATCAAAAAAAAATATAAAATTACTGAAAACTCCTAAAATATGTTGAAATTATTATAATGTGATCAACCATCATTAGTTCATAAAAATCATGGTTGAATCTTTAATATTTATTTGTGTAATTTATTAGTATATTATCTCTCTACATATAATGTAACATCATGGGGAAAAGGTGCCACATGGAACTAAGATTTGAAACTTTCAATAAAATAAAAATATTTGAGCTTTAAAAGCAAAGTACTTTTGGATGGTCAAAGAAAACGACTAATTTTTTCTTTACTACAAATTGCTATCGTCGTCTTCTTTAAATATCTCAGCCTCGTTTAAGAAGAAAAGTTAAAAAAGAACATACTCGAATCATGTATGAGCTATTAATCAAACACGTACATGGTCCATTTGTCTTCGTCAAATGTTCACAATTATCATTAATAGTGGCAAGAATCCAAATCAATTGATAAGTTTTAATATAATCAAAGCAAGTAATTCTTCTACCTTATCACGCTTGTATCAAAATTAGGCACATAATTTTGAGACATGGTGTACCAGTTTAGCTGTTTTCTTGGCTATCTTTTCTTTAAAAATTTTGTACTTAAGACACGTCAGCTTTTATTAGTACAGAACAATGTTGATAAGAGCTACTGTACCGATAGATTAAAAAATTAGTGGAGGAACAATCAATGAAACAACGTAAGGAATGTCTAATTTCAAGTCCTAAAGACCATGATTCCATGAGGAAAGATATCAAATGAAATTCTTCCTTATCACCCAAGAAAAAGAGGATAACATGGAAGAATTGTCAATCTATGTTCATGGTCAAGCAGTCACCCCCATAATCCATTAGAATACATTGTAGGCTAAACAAAGAACTTTCTGACTTTTCTTTATCTTCACTGTAAGATATACCTAACATTAACATGCACCTTGGATAAATCAAACCCCATAAAAACACACTATGGAAGCAATAAAATTAGAATTATCTCACTCTTACGAAAAGAAAGCAGAAGAATTGTTTAAATTCCAAGTTTTTGTAAACTCCATACATTCACAACACAGGTTGAGGCAATCTACAATTTTTACATTTGCGAAATCATAGTTTGATAGTAGAAGAACTAATACAACAAATTAAACTCAAGAGGGAGCTTGTGGTGGTAGGAATGGCAACGTCGAGGCAAAGACGTGGTGGCGCAGCTGCTCCGAATCATCCGAGAATGGTTGGTGTCCAACCAGTTTATGAAGATTTTAAACCTGTTTCAAAATGGTCAGAAGATGATGATACTTCTATTCTCACTATTCAAGTTCCTGGTAAGTCCTTGTTTACTTATATCATTATTTTCAAGCGATATTATGCCTATTAAAGTAGCTGGCCAGCACCATAAGAAAATGCGACGCTTGACACCAGAGCTAGCAGTGCCAAGCCGCGAACATCTTCCTAGGTGGGGGCCAGATTTACACCTCTACCTTGTTTCTCCTGCAGGTTTCATGAACGATCAACTCAAAGTTTCAACCGTAGATCGGATTTTCATCAGGGTTCGTGGAGAACGCCTGGTTGCCGGCAACAAATGGAGCCGTTTCCAGGAGGACTTCCAGGTCCCGGATAACAGCGACCTAACAAAAGTTAGCACCAGGCAAGGAGGAGGAACTCTAATTGTTACTGTCCCAAGAAAGAATGTTGCTGGTAAAACACTTGCAACCAGAAAGGAAGAAAACGAAGCCAGTCAAGCAACCCTCATCCCTCACCCAAAAGCTCAAGATCAATTCCTTCCTCCTAAAACCACAGGCATGAAATCTCCTGGGGAACCCAAGCCTGATCAGCAGGGTCAAGATAAAGTTACTCCCACGATTAGTAGTAGCAAGCCGACAACTGATGACAAAAGTATAGAACCAGCTCCAAGGATTCAGAAAACATCAGGTGATCATCCTATTACGAAAATAGAACTACAAGAAGATGAACAAAAGAGTCATACAGAGGAGATGAGCCCAGGAATGACAGAGAAACCTGCTGCACATGAAAATATTGTGGATAAGGCAGGGAAGAAGATAGTTGCTGACAAAAGTTTGGAACTACTAGGAACTAAGAGAACTTCACGTTATCATCCAAGTATTAGAACTAGACGACAAAAAGACAAACAAAAGAGTAATATTGAGAAAAAGGGAATCCAAGAAACAGAAGAGAAACATTTTACACCAGAAAATGCCCCATTGAAGGATAACATTGGAAAAGGTAAAGAAATAAGTTCTGAAGTTCATGAAGATAATAAGATGATCAAATCTGAGAAACAATCAAAAAGGCATCAAATTGTCAAATCAAGTGCACTTCGTGATACTCCTGATCATGATCAGTGTGCTTCGAAATTGGAACTGAAGAAGAAAGCAGCTAAAGGGCCTGGTGAGCTGATTGAAGAGAGGCAATCGCTGGTGAATATGGGGGCAGCACTGCTCATTATTGTTGGAGTAAGCGCTCTTGTCTCCTACCGCTTTGCATCTCAGAATGATAAACAATAGCTAGATATATTATATACTATATGATGTATATATACATATGCGGATATGCCCGTATATGCAGTTCCAAGTTGAATAAATAAATTAATTGTGTGAAATGGAAAGCAACTAATTATCATTTCTTCTAATATTATTATAAAGTTTAAGGCTGACAAAATTACATACAATTAATTCTCCTAGTTCATCAAAATAATAATAGAAATGGTTACTCCCCAAGGGAACTCTTTTCTGGTAAAAATTTTGTTCTTTTTTTTTTTTAGAATAAAAAAGTTAATTTTGAGAAAAAAAAAATATCATTAAGAGCATATTTGGCAAAGCTTAAATTATAACTTTAAGTTGTTCAAACAAACTTTGCATCTAAGGTTTTCAGGAAATTTCTACACTAAATCTTTCAATTTCTTATTTTACTCTTGTTCGATCAGGAGTTTGAAACCAAATCTCTCATTAGAAATATAGGACCTCACAACTTACTATCTACACATTCAGTAGAACTCTCAGTATATAAGCGCTTAAATGCACTAACAAACAAGCATTAAGATGTAACTTGTAAGCACTCAAAAAAAGAAAAGAAAAATAAGAAAACAATTTTGACTAAACTAAAAACAATGCTCCCATCAAAACCATCTGCAATTTTTTCAAAAGTTGGCGCGAAGTTTAGGTTGAGAGCAATTTGTCTCAAGGAATCGAATTTAACATGATCTACAAATACATTAGGACTAATTCATTATGCAACTACAGATAAGCTTATAGAATTTGATGAGTTACACGACACTTTCATCATTGATCGTGATGTCTCAAGATTCTGTACCTGCAAAACCTACATCACCTCTGAGGCCCTCATCTTTCTTGTTGAACTTGTTCCTCCATTGTCCTCTACAGCAGAATGTTCTATTGCTGCAACAGAATGCAAATAAAACATGAATACCTCAGCATGCACATGATACAAAAAAATGGAAGGATACAGGGTCTCGGTATTCTTTGGAAGCTGGTCCCAAAAAATTGTACTTGGACCTTAAGTTTTACCTTCCAGAGCCATTTCCATTTCTATATGCATGGAAAGGGAGAAAATATAAATTCAATAGCATAGCCATCACGATCTTAAAAGACTTGCGTTCCCAAAGATCCTACCAGATAGCATTACTGTGATGAGAAGTCAGTACCCAATATTATGTCTTTTTGTCAATAACCTTTACAGGCAAATAAAGGTCTATATCGCTGAAACACCAACTGCATGTTAGGTAAGCAGTATTAGAAAAAGGCAATATAATAAACAAGATTTTAGCTTCTTTTTTCTTTCTTGGTACATTCTAGTATCAAATCCTCATTACCAAACATGATACAAGCATATGCAGTGGAGTTAGCAAAATTACAGAGAGGCTGCAATTTGAAAAACAAAGGACAATCTCACTCATTTACAAAAGCAATTCAAATTAAAACGAAAATGAGTATTGAAGATAAAGTTTGACTTTGTATAAAATTGAAGTAGTTTTATTGGATATGATTTTATCATTTAGCAGTTGTTACTTTACTAGAAGTTGTTTTATATTTAAGCTCAAGACTTTATAAATAGGACCTAAGATTAAATGCACGTTTGTAAAACTTATTATCGTTTATAAACTGGTCAAACTTTATTTTTACCTACACAACCCACAACTTTTACCCACTTTGTAACCGCACATTCATTGGAACCCACTGCTTCTAGACAATTCTAAGCTTTGACAAACATGCACTACATTTGCAACAAGACTTCGATTGATGATAAAAAAATTGATATTCTTCCCCCCTAATTTTCTTCTCATTTCTTCACTTTCTCTTCCCTATTTCTATTTGTGTTAGGCTTCACAAAAAACTGAAGCAAGCCTGTCTAGTTAAGGAAAAACCATTCAGCAAAAACTAAAGACATCTAAAGGCCTAATAAATAGAATTGTTGATAGAAATTTCAGAAATTTGTTGTTCAAGTACGTGATCCTGCATCAAATAAGCTCATCCATTAAATACAAAAGAAGCAAATAATTTAGGGAATTAATTACTTGCCGACATGAAAATGAATTCTTGGAGTGGGAAACGAAACTTGTTCATTTCTATAAGAGAACTCCCGCTTTCTTCAAAACGATCCAAGAAGAATTTAAAGATAGCTACACCAGAACTGAAGTAAAACATTTCCAGCTAGGGTGTTCACATTGGTTGAAAAGTTTAATCTATTGTTGTTGGTCTTGTATCCATAATACAGCACTTAACTTACGTATACTCAATGTAGAAGTTCCACCTTCAATTATGAGTATGATAGCAACCTCATCCTTGAAATCCAGTGATAAAGACCAATACACATTTGACTGAATTCACTTGGAACAGATAATTTTACCTTCAAGTGGGGTGGATATGTGGCTTATTAGACGACCACTTTGTCCAGCCTCTTCTGAAAGAGCAGATGCAGACTGGTTACTGTCCCCCTGCTTCGAAGTACTTCCAACAAACTTGTCCTGTGGTTCAGGAACATCTGGGGATGGATCGGCGGGCAAGAAGCATATCTCACCCTGTGACATATCAGAATCACTAAACGCCGAGTCTTTCTCAACTCCCACAATATCAATTTCTTCATCTTCATCAACATCAGATTCTTTCACCTGCAACAACACAAACATGTTTAACACAGGCATGGAAAAGGAAGAAAGGAAAGCTATTCCTCCCATAAATATCCATCTGACCTTTTCAGTTTCTGGCATTAAATCAAATTCGTCCTCTCGTTCAACATACTCCTCATTTTCCTCAAGCTCCTTGAAGTCTGGAGCAAATGCACTCCAATTCTCAGTATAGTCTTTGGCCCAGATATAAACCAAGCCAGTCAAAGAGACAGAAACGACAATAGGGTGAACAGGATGCCATGCTAAATCTATTAGTGCCTCCTTTGGACCTTCAAGGATTTTTACAAGATGCCCAGCCTGGTCCCATATATAGATCTTGTGCTCTCCCTTGCTGGCAGAGCCTCCAATCACCCACTCGCCATCACCACTAAAACATGGTGCTTTCCAGTGTACTTTGGTGATGGAATCCTGAAACTCCCGAAACAGAGCTAGACAACTTGATCCAACAGCTTTCAACTTTTCAAACCCATCTTTTTCATCTCCTGCATGATTTGATTCTTCCAAGAATTTAAGTCCTCCTTTCAAGGGTAAAAGGTTCTCATATATTCTAATTGTCCTATCATTCGAATTTGTTAGAAGATACTGTCCGTTCCTGCTGAATACCATATTCTTTATCACAGCATTCCCAGGAACTGGAACAATACCACATATTAAGACGTTTTTATGATCTACAATAAGTAGCTCCCCTTTGGAATTCCCAACATAAACCAGATCACCATATTTGTTGAAGCATGCTGCAGTAGGACTAAAAGGGGCAGATCCATCTGAAAATTTATTGCGTGAAGGAGGGACAACCCCATTTCCTGTATCAGATAATGACACAGGAAGTATTGTCATGTTTCCTGTATTCATGTCAACAATCATGGGTGCTGATGAGAAGGGACAAGCTAAGCAAATAGATGGTGTAGAGGAACCAGGATGCAGACGAGCTTGCAATGGGGTTTGTGGCAGGGTTGTTCGAGCTATTTTCTCCCCTTTGACAACGTCCCAAAGGGTCAATGATTTATCCGCAGAAGAGACAAGTATGCGATGACCATACTTTGACCAACAAACACTTGTTATGGCAGCAACACAATCCTTGTCCCTGAGTTCTTTGGCAATGCCTCTGGTTTCAAAATCCCAAACAACACAGCTTCCATCAGAGCACCCCGCTGGAAAAGATAAAAAATCAATCCAAATATTAAACTTAGCACATTGAATCAGGTGGTAGTGTATAAAAAACAGAATGAAGCAAAACATGAAAAGATATATTGCTCTAGAACTGGCAATGCGCTTATAAGGGAGGCTAAAGCTGTAACTTTTTCAGGAATGAATAACAAAGCCTAGATCTAGTTTAACATTTTGCTTCCAAGATACTTATCAAAAAATTGCAACAAATCGGTGCACCCTCTATATTTAGACTAAGAGCTACAATCCAACAACTACGATAAGACCAAGAAGCGAAGTCTTAGCCCCCATAAACTTGGAACTGGGTAGATCCCTTTCTCCCCACACTGTTTGATCTAAAGCAAAGCTACATCTACTGAAAGGTCCATTGAATTGAACTTCTCGCAACTACATCAAGCCATGTTTCTTTTAGTAACTTCTCCATCTCCCAACAAGTTCTATTGATATCACCTTACATGAATGGAAGTTTCTTTACATCATTGCTAAGCATACTTCATCCATCTACATCGTCCATTCATTATCTTATCCTCAACTTATCAACTCCACTTCTAGTAAATGCTCAATCTTATATTTTCTCATTAACTGTCCAACACTTCCCATAAAATATAGTAAGCTCAATCACCACTTTGAAACTTTTTAAGTTGGTAGGTACTTCCAATCATGGAATTCTTGTAGCATTTACTCCATCTTGGCCACTTGCCCTAATACTACGAATGAATAATAACATTTTCCTTAGTCATCTCTCTATGTTAATAATTAAACCTAAATGTCTACACAATCAAGATTTGGAATGACATAATCCTATATTGCGACTCCACTATATTGTCATTTTCTATGACTAAAAGGACATTATATGTGTATTATTTTTGCTCTACTTCAAATATTTGAATCAAGAGCACTCTGCTGGAGTTGCAACGTATGATTACTATGATCTATTCAATTTTTTATTTTTTATTTTTGGTACCTGAAAGGGTAGACAACCTAGGAAAGATCCAAAGTGGATTCAATTCATTCACAAAAGATGCAGTCTCTGTCCACCAGTTGAATTCAATCTCTTTTTCCTGTTTTCTTATTTGTTTTCCCAAGTCTGCATCACCGAACAATATTATTTTCTACCCTTCAAATTATAGGAGATAACCTTATTTAGAATCTTGTTAGAAGCGTAACATGGCTAACAAGAAAAGCTAATAGGAAAACTGTGCTCAAGAAAACTGTAGACATCCTAAGCTTCCTAACTTTTTTTTTTTTTTTAACTAACCATTTTTCTACGAAAATTACATTGTACTTGGTTCTTCCCACCTTCTAATGATCCAATAATCAAGTTCCTTGACTCACATCAAAGAACTAAGACCACTATTTTATGAAAAATAATCATTTCCCCATTTGCTTTCCATATAATTCCTATTCGGGATATTCTGGGTAGGGCATCTAACCTTACTGTTATGTAGAGGTGTTAAGATATGCATTGAGTTACATCCTCAAATGTTATCTCGGATGGGGGGAAAAAAGAGCACCTCACTTGAATTGGAACATTTAGTCAAAGAAATATAAATTGAAACTTATTTAGTGCTCCAAAAAGGGAGGAAGTACAAAATCATGAACACACGGAACACTAAGAATTTTCATACTACAGTTTTAAATCTAAACCAATATTGGAAGGGTCATTATTTCTTTCTAAGACATACCATGGTAACAAGTAAATCAAAAGTCAAAGACAAGCATTTAAATAAAATTATAAAAAATATAAATATAAATTCTAAAGAATAAAATTTCGAAAAAAATAAATTCTAAAAAAAAATCTGAAAAAAATAAAATTATAAAAATTTCTCGAAAAATAAAAATAGTCCAAGCCTTACATAAAAATTCTAAAAAATATATGTAAACGAACACAGATAAATATATTATGAGTCCGCGTAGTTAATTTTTATTTTCTATATTTTGAATTCAATTTATTATTTATTTTTATTTTATTTTTGCAGCCAGAAAAAAATATTGTAAAATTCACCAACTTTAAAAAAAAATATATATATATATATTACTTGATAGTATATTAACATACACATATATCTCAGGGGTGTTTCCACAATTTGCTCAAAAGTCTACTCTTTCGTTTGTAACATAATAACATCAGAATATATTTTACCAATACGTTATCAAAATTGAAAAATCATTTGAGAAAATCTTAAAAATAATTCAGACCTACATGTAAAGTTACCATTGAGAGTAAAACAAAAAAAATATACCAGCTAGAAGGGTTCCGCGGCGATTAAAGGCGATACATTTCATTACCCCGTGCTCCAAATACTCCTCTATTACTTCTGGAAAATCCCCCTGTAGTGGGTCTGGGACAATAAGAAAAACAATCACAAAAGTTGCAAATAATCAGAAAAATTAATCGCAATAAGATAAAACGAATGTATCTGCCGTGCGTATTTTTCGTAAATACCTTTTTAACTCACACACACCAAAAAAAAATGGTAAACAGAGAGAATTACCAATAATTGGGGCGTTCATTATGAGTTTTGTGTAAAAAAAAACGCTCAGAGGTTTAGGGATTAAGGAATTGAAACCATGGGAGAGAAGCGCGGAGAGAATCTGCGAATGTGTGTGCTGCTTTACGGTGTTTTTCACGAAAAGGTTCACCAAAAAATAGGGAAATTTGAGAAGAAATTAATTCCTCTCTGTTTATATATACAGATACATATTTAGAAGGGAAAAACAAAGTTTAGTTTTACCGATTTCAAATTTAAGAATTTAAGTTTAAAATTTCAAATTTAAGATATTTTTAAATTTTATTTATAAAATAATTAATTAAATATATATTTTATTAATTAAATATATTAATATTATAATTTCATATAATTTGATCACAAATTCTATATAATTGGCCACATATTATTAATTTGTCACAAATCACAAATTTTACATGTCACAAATTATTTTGCAGTCACGATTCAAAAATTTTATAGGTCACAATTTGTTCATCGGTTACAAATAAAAAATTGAAACGTTACAAATTATTTTACGGTCACAATTCAAAAATTTTATATGTCACAATTTGTTCATCGATCACAAATCAAAAATTTTATAAATCACAAATTATTTTTTATAAGTCACAATTTAAAATTTTTATAAGTCACGATTTGTTTATTTGTCACAAATAAAAATTTTTATACATCACAACTTATTCATCGGTCACAAATCACAAACATTATAAGTCACAACTTAGTAGACAGTCACAAATTATCAAATTATCGATTGCAAATTAACAATTTTTTAGGTCACAATTTATATTTTTCAATTGGTCACATATTGTTTATCGGTCACAAATTAATGAATTTAATGATCACAAACGATCAAATAATCTGTGACCACCACAAATATTTACGACACCACCTCACAACATTCGAACCAAAACCCACCAAACAAAACTAAAAATTCAAACGATGAGCCCAACATCGAAACCAACCCAAAATTGAATTTTTACCCATCCATAATCCCAACCCAGTCTAAAATCTGAATTTGACTTTAACCCAACCAAATGAAACCCAACCCAATGAAAATACAACTCACAATAAAACTCAACCTAATTTGGACCAACCCAAATCCCTCCAAACCCAAACCAAACCAACAACAAACAGAAACCCAAACCAACCTCCAAACTAAAAATCCAATCCACATTTGAATTAAACCCAAATCTCACCGAACCAATTCAAATTAGACCAACCTCGTTATTTTTAGTGGAAATTACATAAAAACAGGTGAATAAATATCAAATTTCATAAATCAAGGTTGAAGTTTATTTGTTCAATTTTCAGGATTTTATCATTTTAATTAAATATTAAATTTTTTAAATAATTGACGCGCATATCCCGTAAATTTAGGGCTTGTTTAGAGCCAATTTTAAGCCAATTTTTTACCGTTGCTTTTGAAGGTGGGGCCCGCATGTTAGAGATAAAAGTCAACAAAATATGGCTGAATTAATGAAAAAGGGTTAGAAAATCAATTTTTTCCTCCATTGAAATCAGCTCCAGACATGCTCTTAGTGTTTCAAATTTGATAATATCACAGCTTCCATTTTCATTCAAACCCTATTTTTTTTCTCAAACACTATCTCCTCTCCACATTCTTCGCCCCCAATCTCCACCATTTTTTCCAAAATCAACTGTCATAAATCTCCAAAATCAACCTCCGATGGATTTCATTTGGTCTAAAGTGTGAGAGCTTTTCCATCCGACAGCGAATAGTAATGGCGAAAATGAAGGCTGAAAATAAAGGGAAAAAGACGGTGCAAACGCCGGGTAAAACAAATAAAAGGAAGACAATGGAAAGTCCCAAGAAAACTCAAGCAACAAGGCAAAAATCGCATGGGTCAAGTAAAAAACAGTCCGGGACGAAAGTTTTTCAATTTTTTTGTTTGTTTATTTCATTTGTGACCTTTTATTTGTTTGAGAAGTAGTATTGAAGGAAATGTGTGGGGGTTTCTATTTTGGAAGTGTAGTTATAATTTATACAATTATTCATTGTATACAATAGTGTCATATGTGATGAAGAGTATAATGGATCTGTGACTTACTTCCCACATGTCATTGGATATGTAATGGAGATTATGATGGGTCTGTAACCTAATTCCATCACATGATATATGATTATACGTTTATGTGACCTGGTTGTATTCTGCAATTTGTGGATGTGACGTTAAATGGCATGAGTATACATGTATCTGTGACCTCTTTTAAATCTTATCTCATACTCTATACGTTTGTGTCATGATTTTGTAATTTTTTTTCAATATGTGACATGTTTGAAAATAATTCATTTTACAGTTCTGTCTACCATTATTTGCATCTGTGACCTCGTTTATTCTAATAATCTTTCACATATTTGATTTTATCTTTACATCTGTCACCTCTTTCATTTGCATCTATGACCTAACATAAACACGTGCTGCAGGTGTGGAAATTCATAATAGTATGGTTTCCTGGAAAAATCACCACGCCTATGACAAAAGGTGTTATCACAAACTTGAAGAAATATCTTAGCGAAGCCCAACGAAGTATACTCATAGGAACATGTTTTGAGCATTTTCTAGAGTGTCATGAAATCATGCTTTAGCCATAATTGATTCATTACTTTCTACTCAGACAGGTGCATACACCCAATGAAAATAAAATGCGATTTTGCATATTCGGTAGATTTGTTAGGTTCTCTCTGGCTGAGTTCAATTTAGTAACAGGACTGCGATGCACGGAAAAACAGTGATGTACATACACTTGAAAACAGTCTTTCAAGTTTGAAGAAAAAATATTTTAGTCAACTGAACATAGTGACACATGAAAATATGAGGGATGCATTCATATTAGCTTGCCAACTTCCAGACTGGACGTTGTTGAAGTCTTTATAGATCGAGATATAGCAATGCTTGGAGCTCTGTATTTCATTACATCTTACATGTTCCCAAGAGATTACAAGAAGGTTGTTGATCATTATTTATTTGTACTTGTTGAATATTTTTCTACAATGGACACGTTTCATTGGGGGAAGATCCTTTTTTATATTACTTTGAATGCATTGAGAGATAGTTTGAGTAAGAGGAGAAGTCATTACAGGCTAAGAGGTCTATTACTAGCCGTTAGTGTGGATATACGAGATGATTCCTAGTCTTGCTGGAACTATTTTCACAAGGATGTCCAAAACCCATCCTCGAATAATGAATTGGATGGCAGTTGTGCACCCATCCGATGCTAAACTTGAAGAAGATTGCAAGAAGGTTTTTGATCATTATTTATTTGTACTTGTTGAAGATTGTTCTGCAATGGACACGTTTCCTTGGGCGAAGATCATTTTTTATACTACTTTGAATGCATTGAAAGATGGTCTGAGTAAGAGGACAAGCCATTACAGGCTAAGAGGTCTATTACTAGCCTTTCAAGTGTGGTCTTCAAGTTTAGCAACGGATGGGTGCTCATCTGCCATCCAGTTCATTATTCGAGTATGGGTTTTGGACATTCTTGTGACAATAGGCCAACAAGACTAGGAATCGTCTCGTATATCCACACTTGAAAGGCTAGTAATAGACCTCTTAGCCTGTAATGGCTTGTCTTCTTATTCAGCCCATCTCTCAATGCATTCAAAGTAGTATAAAAAGGGATCTTCTCCCAAGGAAACGTATCCATTGCAGAAAAATCTTCAACAAGTACAAATAAATAATGATTAGCAACCTTCTTGTAATCTCTTGAGAACAAGTAAGATATAATGATATACAGAGCTCCAAGCATTGCGACATCTTGATCTATAAGGATTTCAACAACGTCCTGGTCTAGAAGTTGACAAGTTGATATGAATGCATCCCTCACATCTTCATGTGTCACCATGTTCAGTTGACTGAAATATTTTTTCTTCAAATTTGAAGGACTGTTTTCAAGTGTATGTACATCACTGTTTCCTGTGCATCGTAGTCATGTTACTAAACTGAACTCAGCCAGAGAAAACCTAACAAATCTACCGAATATGCAAAACCACATTTCATTTTCATTGGGTGTATGCACCCGTCTGAGTAGAAAGTAATGAATCAATTGTGGTTGAAGCATGATTTCAGGACATTCCAGAAAATGCGCAAAGTATGTTCCCATGAGAGTATACTTTGTTAGGCTTCGCTAAGATATTTCTTCAAGTTTGTGATAACAACTTTTGTCATAAACGTTGTGATTTTTCCAGGAAACAATTTATGTTGTGCTATTATGAATTTCCACACCTACAAGACGTGTTTATGTCAGGTCACATACGTAATGAAAGAGTTGACAGATGCAAAGATAAAATCAAATCTGTGAAGGATTATTAGAATAAACAAGGTCACAGATGTAAATAATGGTAAATAGAATTGTAAAATGATTCACATAGAATTATTTTCAAACAGGTCACTTATTGAAAAAAATTTAGAAAATCATGACACAGACGTATAGATTATGAGTTAAAATCTAAAAGAGGTCACAGAAACATGTATACTCATTCATTTAACATCACAGCCACAAATTACAGAATACAATCAGATCACATAAACATATAATCGTATATCATGTGATGAAATTAGGTCACAAAACCCATTATAATCTCAATTACATATCCAATGACATGTGGGAAGTAGGTCACAAATCCATTATACTCTTCGTCACATAAAGCACTATTGTATGCCATGAATCATTGTATAAATTATAACTACACTTCCAAAATAAAAACCCCCACACATTTCCTTTAGTACTACTTCTTAAACAAATAAAATGTCACAAATGAAATGAACGAACAAAAAAATTGAAAATACCTTCTTCCCGGACTGTTTTTTCCTTGACCCATGCGATTTTTGTCTTGTTGCAGGAGTTTTCTTAGAACTTTCCACTGTCTTCCTTTTATTTGTTGTGCCCGGCGTTTGCACCGTCTTCTTCCCTTTATTTTCAGCCTTCATTTTCGCCATTACTATTCGCTATCGGATGGAAAAGCTCTCACATTGTAGACAAAATGGAATGCACCGGAGGTTGATTTAGGAAATTTATGACGGTTGATTTTGGAAAAATGGTGGAGATTGGGCGCTGAGATGAAACAGTGCTTGAGAAAAAATAAGGGTTTGAATGAAAATGGAAGCTGGTATATTATCAAATTTGAAACACTAAATTTACGGGATACGCGCGTCAATTATTTAAAAGATTTAATATTTAATTAAAATGATAAAAACCTGAAAATTGAACAAATAAACTTCAACCCTGATTTATGAAATTGGATATTTATTCACCAGTTTTTATGTAATTTCCACCCCAATTAAATCCAATCGAAAGCCTAAACCCAAAGCATTCAAACATAACCCAACATTGTACCCAAAAACATCAAAACCCAACCCTAAACCCTTCAAAGAAAATCCTTCTCCCAAATATATTAAAACCCAACCAAACTCGGACCCAATTAAATCCAATTGAAAGCCCAAACCCAAAGCATTGAAATATAACCCAACGTTGTACCCAAAACCACTGAAACCCTACCCAAATGCAAACCAAAGCCCAAACCCAAACCCATCAAATCCCAACTTAAATGCAAACCATCCAACATCCAAAAACCCAAATCCTTAAAACTAAGTCCAATTCACAAACCAAGCCCATCCTCCCAATCCAAGCATAATCCTAAATAGATCCCTCTAAAGCCAACCCAATTTCAAACCCGAGCCTAACCTCCAAACAATCCAAAATTCAGATTAAATCTCAAACCCAATTACATCAAAACCCAACCAAACTCGAACCCAATTAAATCCAATTGAAAGCCCAAACCCAAAGTATTCAAATATAACCCAACATTGTACCCAAACCCATCAAAACGTAAGCCCAACCCCAAACCCATCAAACCCAACTTAAATGCCAACCAAGCCGAAGTCAAGCATCCAAAAAACTCAAATCCTTCAAACCAAGTCCAATTCACAATCGGAGACACCCATCAGCTCAGGCAATCACTTCGGCTGTCGCTTCGGCGACTGTTCCGATGATCACTCCGGTTGCCACTCGGTCAACTATTCTGGCGGCCGCTCCGGCGACTTCAAAATTTTTTGAAAATTACAAATTGGAAATCATACCCCCACCCCATGGATCCACCTACCACCACCCCCATTCGCTGACACATGTCATCTGTGACAAATTGTGACCAAGTTTGTATTCAATGTGACTAACTGTGACCAAATTTGTATTCAGTGTGACTGTTTGTGACTAGGTCCATCTCAAGTCACAATCGATCACATTCAAACACATGCTTGATCTCATAGGGTCACCACAAATAACCAAGGGCATCGAATGAAACTGCACATTTTGTACCGTCAATGCTTCCTACAACCCAAGCCATACATTCTCCAAATCCAGAATGGAATGGATATCAGGCTGCACCCTACTTAACATCATAGAGGAGCTTGCCTACACCCCCAGTATTTTCCATGAACGAGTTACCAATTTATATGAACTTCCCAATTCAACATCAGCAGGAGATGGATTAATCGTGACCAACTTTGTCTTCGGTGTGACTAACTGTGACCAAATTTGTATTGAATGTGACCGTCTATAACTAAGATAAATCTCAAGTCACAATCAACACAAAATTGATCAAAAACAACCACGGCGACCACCAGCAT